CAGAAAAATCCTGCATACCATGGCAACTCTGTTCGCTGCAATCAATTTTCACTAAACCAAACAAAAAAACAGCCCAGGCCGAACTTTTTATACCCTCCACAATCTGGAAGAAACTTGAAACATTTCAAAAAAAATTCCGTCGGAAAATACCGATCAAATCAAACATAGGGGATATACGAAGACATTGTCCAGTATAATTAATTTGTGTCATAGGCTATAGTAACTGTTCCGAACTTTATATACGAAATTTGAAACAATTCCGGTGAATAATGTACCAAAAATAATGAAAATACCGAATATCTGGGGTACAGTTATATGGGAGCTATACTGAAACGTGGAACTATTTAGATAATTCTCTTTTGGGGGTAAAGTTCTCCGAAGTAAACCCTTATGTGGATTTTATTACATTGAAAAATGTGGCTAAAATCATTAAAATACCGAATATAGGGGGCACAGTTATATGGGGGATATATGATATCGTGGACCTATATAGACAATTCTCTTTCAGGGGGTAAATTACTCACAAAGAACTCTTTGTGTAGAATTTTAGACAATTCCATTGAAAAATGTGGCTGAAAACATCAAAAATCCGAATATCGGGAGGTGCCGTTGTATGGAGGCTATACGATATCGTGGACCGATAGAGACAAATCTCTTCCAGGGGATAAAGTATTCACAACGAACTCCTTGTGTTGATTTTAAGACAATTGATGACAATTGAAAAATGTGGCCAAAATCATTAAAAAACCGATTATCAGGATCTGCCGTTATATGGGGCATATACCATATCATGGACTGCCTGCAGGAAAAAGACAGATCTGTGTAACATTTAAGCTCCCTATCTCAATTCGTTTTGACTGTAGCGTGATTGCAAAAGACAGAATTTTACGCTGATCAAGAATATATATACTTTGTTGGGTCTGAAATTATTATTTCAATGAGTTACAAACGGAATGACGAACTTAATATACCCTCCATACTATGTATGATGGATGGTATAAAAAGCAAAGGCAAGCAAATCAGAGTAAAAAGGAAAAAACTTAAAGAAGTTAGAACACAATTTACCGTCAAAAGCAAACTCAAATAAGAAAAATGAAAACCTCAAATGGATATGAAATTGCTAATTTATATGTTTGTATATCGTACACACACCACAATTTCATCTGCTTACCTACATATGTACATTTCCGAAGATATGGTACCTCGTTCTGACGCATACATTTATAATATCCGCATGCATTTCTGGAGATGTGTGTCCACACATGTGGCGCATGTCTGTCTTGGCCCCAGTTGCTGGCAGACAATACGCTGGACGATTGCTTCTCTTTTTCTTGTTCGCCAAACTCAAATTTTAATAGAAGCAAGTTTTAGCAGCAATTTAGATAGGCCGAGGTACGATTGCATTCATAATAATAAAAACAACATTAATTATACATTGTGTGCTTGCTGCAAGTGCCTGAGTGAGTGAGTGTATGCAGCTGATAAAAAACTGGCGATTAATGAAATGGAGCAGCGCGAAAGCAGGGGGAAACAAAGCAACAGCAACAGGAACACTGCAAATGCAATAATTCATCGAACATTGCAGCATTTTCCATGAAAGAGAACAGAAGAGTGCGAACACAAAATGAGATAACATGCAAGTGGGTCATATAACACATCAGGCTGGCATTCTATACCACACATCATTCACCACACACAGATTTCACGGAAAAACCACATCCATATCAGTGGCTGACTACCTACCACTCGCCGTTCCCCCACCCGATGCCAAGTGCATTTGGTAGCTACCGTTAACGATTTAAAGAAATTAATTATTTAAACAAAAGCACTTTTGTTTACAATTAATTCCTCACAAAAGGTCTCCCGTTGCAATTGTCTGCCAGTCAGGCCATTTAATTTGCCAATGACAGTTTGTCCGTCACTCACATGCAATGCCAGGCAATTCCCAGGAATGTCAACAATAACAGCCCACAAACAATTGCATGACTCAAATTCTGCACTAGGATCTATCGATAAACAATCACCATCCCGTTCCCATTGCAATGCACCATGAGAAATTGAAGCATTGCAAAAATTCGTATTTCATTTTCTGCTGCTGCATCATATTCGGCTGCTGATGGCGGCCAAATCAGGTTACAAAAGAAACTCCTCTATTGATCCAATCAGTCAGCCAATGTGGAAGTATTGTAATCAAATTTCTTTACTTCAAGGATTAGACAGGAAGAAAACAATGCCTTGCCAATGGGAAAATGCATAAATTGTGCAACCTGAGTTGCAGCGTAGTGACATGTGCAGTTCTCCCTCACATCCAAGCAATGCAACTTCCTCCTTTCGTCCTTTTGACAATAAGTAATATTGAGAAACAAAAAAAAGTAAATGTACTTTCCATTCCCAAGATGGATTAGCCAGATAAGAATAGAACAGCCGGGGCAACCACTCAAATCTAGGCTATTGCCAAAACAACAATTGATCGAAATCTTGCCATGCATTTTCACTATAACTAGCTCTTCCTGCTACTACCTGTTTCCCAAAGGACGATCCAAACACAAAACCAAAAACTATAACAACAAGAGAAATGTTTCAACTTGAGTGCACATTTTGGAATTCTGTTTCTGAAATTTATTTGCGTCTTTCATCTTCCACTGGGGGTATCGGGTATCAGTCGTCTTCGATACTGGAAACAAAACGAATCAACCAGTCAGTCAGTCAGCAAAAGCAAGCAAAGACTAGCTCCTCAGGTTCTCATTTCATAACATCACCTGTCGTTAAATGAATGCTTTCTGATAAAATAACATCAGCATGTTATGAAATGTGTCTGGTATTGCGAGCGAGTGCTGAGCACTCCGCACTTGAGGTCGACGTAACGCAATGTAATGTTACACAAAACGAAGTTCTTCTGTTTGTTTTGTTGTGTGTCTTCATACCACACCGTACACAGTGTTTGGTATTGGCGGATTTCTTCAACAAATTTGCCTGTATATTCTATTCTTGTTCTTCTTCTTTATTGAAGTTAGACTGAAAATATTTAAATATTTTTTTCTATTAATAATACAGCAAAGTAAGATTAGAACTCTGTATGGAAAACATATATCGAAGAGTGTTAGCGAGGACGTGTTCCACCCATTAACAGTGAAACTATCAAATTATAACCACTTTTGACATGATCTTCTTATAACTTGGACATGATCTTCAGAGCATAAAATATATGTGGGGCTCTTGCACTCAAAATGTCAAAAGCGGGGAGATGCTATCTTGGGGCTACTTCAATGAGAAAGAGAAATATTAAAACTATAGTTGATTGGATTGGAAATGGGGACTAAAACATTCGAAATATCGAAAATCAGGAGATACCGTTTATGGAGGCTATACCTAACTTTGGACCAGTGCTGCTCAAGAACAAGATCCCACTCACCAGTCAATTTCTTTTTGCTTCTAGAAATCAACATTATATTATATATATATATATATATATATATATATATATATATATATATATATATATATATATATATATATATATTACTCTACACTCTTAACTGTATCCATCAGCTGTGGGAACTCAACACACTGTGCCCTGTTATTGGTTGGCCAACAAACTATTTTTTGCTGGAAGAGGGGGAGAAGGAGGAGTACAGACAGCGGAGCATGGTCATAAAAATGCATTTATCGATGAAGCATAAAAGTAAACAAACCGTATAGAAATAACGTAAATTGCCAAAGAAAGCGTTTCGGCATGACGATGGAAGAAAAACGCTTAGATTTCAATATTGAGACAATAATAGTAATAATAATAACAAAATAATACACCGAATTGCATTTTTATCCCTCGAATGCAATCGAAGAGATTCTGGCTTCAACTGCATTTCTGTCAGTGTTCTCTTCGCTTCGTTGGGCATGAATAAAATTCCATTGTGAGGGTACCTACATTGAATTTGGGAAATCCAAAAAGTTGAATGCAACGATGGTTGGTGGGAGAGTTGGGACTCTATCTCATGGATAGACATTGTCTTCAAGATGTTTTTCTCAAATTGTTTTGTTCATTGCATTGTTGTTTTTCTTGTTTTGGCTAAACTCCCAGCCAGAGTGAGAGAGTTGCAGGCGAAGCAAAAATTCATTATTTTCAACTCAAAGAGCACATATTGAACAAATTTACACTCAGGTATGAGTAAAAGAGAAACGTCAGTTCTTAAAGAGAGGATTTAAGAGAATAGTTTACATAACAAAACTCAAAACAAAACTGGTTTTTGGTCTCTCCATCTATCTCTGAGCATAGTTTGGCTCTATTTGATCATTAAAATATCTATATGGAGTATTTGGCCAAAAAATTGCGAGCATGGAATCAGAAACGTATATAGCATTAAGTTTTTTTATGAGATTATACCAAAATATACACAGAATGAGTGTGTGAATACTTTTTTTTTGACAAAATTGAATTAAAATGAATAAAAAATCGAATAAAAATACCTCATTTCAATTCCAAAGATATTCTGGTCTCACAATTCTCCCACGATGTTTTCCATATTACCTTCGAAATTCTCTCAACTTCACGTCTTCAATTTATTCTCTCAAAATTTATGTTATGCCAACACTCTCAGACAACGTCATAATGACACTCAAACTCACCAAACCGGTCTTGTTAGTGTCAATGGCTCGATGCACCAAAGGTTTTCTTGGTTTTCTTATGCTTGCAATTGAATGTTGCCCAACCGATAAGCACACACACACGGCCAACAATACACTTTTACCTTGCCTTTCTCTCCTACCACCAACCAACTCTCATACCCATGTACATTGTACTCCTTGTGTACGCCGCTCACACATCTGGCTGGCCAAACAAAAAACCCATCAAGTTCACTGAGTGCCCACAGAGAAACCACTCAATTCTCGTGTGTGACTGCATGCCATGGCGATGGTGGTGAGTGCTCTCTGCCGCTCACGATCTCCATGCAACACACAATGTGTACCGAATTCATCGCACAATTCCTTAGAGGCCTGATGTGTTCAATTTGAGAAATCAGTTACTGAGAAGATTCCGAGTAGATCACACGTTCGTAAAGTTGTAACGGAAAACATTTTAAATTTTTTCTTTACCAAAAAAAAAAACAAAACATATTTTTTGTCTAATCGAAAAGAAAACAAAAAAAAAAAAAAAAACGTTAAACACACAAAAAATACAAACACGATCTACTCCAGTTACAAAGAAAGTAAAAAGTGTATTAAGCAAATATTTACAAAAGCTAAATAAAAAAAAAAACATACAACGACAGATTATTACCACAAAAATAAAAAAAAAAACGTTACGTTCGTTGCCTCACACATTTTGGATTACGGTTACGGGCTTCGTTCGCTCATCTTCAGCCAGAAAACAAAAAGAAAAATAATAAAGTCAAATAAAATCGCTATGGACGTTCACATTGCTATGTGAGGTTGAAAACAAAAAAGTAAATGAAGAATACGATAAAAGCAGTGCTTGAAGAATAAGTGAAGCAAAGAAAAATCTGTGAAATTTGATAATCAGTTTTCTCGAACAAATGGAAACACAAAAATGAAGAATTCCAAAGAACTAAAATCGTAATCAAAGTTAAGTGCAACCAACAAAAAATCGCCACTCATCTCATCGCAAACGTTGCTACACCGACACATCACGCCAGCATCATTCATCGCCACAACAGATATCCCCCACCAAATTGCGTTAAGATGGCTCTTATATCGAAAACCATCTTATCGGTGCTCATCTCATTCATCATTCCGGTACTCGGTGCTGCATTGAGCAAGACGGTCTTGTACCAGGCGCCCGACGAGTGTCGTTGGTCCGGGGCCAACGAAATCGACATTACCTTGGTGTGTCACCTGCGCACCATCAACTCGGAATTGGAAAACACAAACTTCAGTGTCATACAACCACAGAATACGATTCGGTTGCGACTCGAGTGCAACGATGCTCTGTTCTTCCAGAGTACCCTGAGTCCGGATAGTTTCCGATCGCTCGTGGAGTTGCGTGCTCTTACGATTGAGTATTGCAAACTCGGCAATCTGACCGACGGTTCGTTTCGCGGTCTGCAGGACTTGCGCAATCTGACCATTCGCACCCACAACGGCGATTGGTCGACAATGTCTCTGGACATATCGCCCACCAGCTTCAGTGAATTCCGCCAATTAGATCGTCTTGACCTGAGTCTCAACAATATTTGGCTGATTCCCGATGGCATGATCTGCCCCCTGAAAGTACTGAAGCACCTGAACATCTCCCACAACGAAATCCAAGATATAAGCAATTTCCACTTCAGTGCCTCGCTCAGCACACGCAAATCTCGCATTTGCGGTTCGTCCCTGAACAGCATCGATTTGAGTCACAATAAAATCGCAAATCTTCCATCGGCCATATTCTCCGGTTTGGGTCGTCTCGTCAACCTGAATTTGGCTCGCAATGGTATGAACTTTATTGCCGACCGTGCCTTCGAAGGACTTGTATCGCTGCAAGTCGTTGACTTGTCAGAGAATCGCCTAACTTCTCTGCCACCAGAACTTTTCTCGGAGGCCAAGTTTGTCAAGGAGATCTACTTGAAGAATAACAGCATCAATGTCCTGGCCCCAGGATTGTTCAGTGAATTGTCTGACTTGCTCGTCTTGGACATGTCGGCCAACGAACTCAACTCTCAATGGGTGAACTCGGCCACCTTTGTCGGTCTCAAACGTCTGGTCCTGCTCGATCTGTCCGCCAATAAGATCAGCAAATTGGAGGCCAATCTCTTCCGCTCGCTGACAAGCCTACAAGTACTTAAGCTGGAGGAGAACTACATCGATCACATTCCCGATGGTGCTTTCACTGATTTGACCAACTTGCACACATTGATTTTGTCGAACAACCGCATTTCCACCATTGGGCCAAATACGTTCCGTGGCTTATATGGCATTCTGGTGCTCAGCTTGGATTACAATCGCATCTCCAAAATAGACACGCAAGCCTTGAAGAACTGCTCCAGCATACAGGACCTACATTTGAATGGCAACAAGCTGCAGACCATACCAGATGCTCTCTCCTATGTGCCATTGCTGAAAACACTCGATTTGGGTGAAAACTTGATCACGAGCATCGAAAACACCTCCATTACTGCCATGGAAAACCTGTACGGCCTGCGTCTCACCGAGAACGCCATCGACTACATCCGCCGTGGTGTGTTCGATCGCATGACTTCATTGCAAATATTAAATTTGTCTGGCAACAAAATCAAAGGCATCGAAGCCGGTGCCTTGCACCGCAACACTCAGCTGCAGGCCATTCGCTTGGATAGCAATCATTTGAAAAACATTGCGGGACTTTTCACCGACTTGCCAAATTTGGTTTGGCTTAACATTTCGGACAATCGCCTGGAGAAATTTGACTATTCGCACATTCCCACTGGTTTGCAGTGGCTGGATGTTCGCGCCAACCGCATTGCCCAATTGGGTAACTATTTTGAAATTGAGAACGAATTGAGTCTGACGACGTTCGATGCCAGCTCCAACTTGCTTAGCGAAATCACAGCCGGCTCCATACCGAACAGCATTGAGGTGTTGTATTTGAACGACAATCTCATTGGTAAAATCCAGCCATACACTTTCTTCAAGAAGCCAAACCTCACCAGGGTGGATCTGATTCGCAACAAGCTGACAACCCTTGAGCCCAATGCCCTTCGCCTCTCTCCCATCCCTGAGGATCGCGACATCCCCGAATTTTTCATCGGCCACAATCCTTTCCAGTGCGATTGCAATCTCGACTGGCTGCAAAAGGTGAACACGGAGACGCGCACACAGCCCAAACTCATGGACTTAGATCAGATCTACTGCAAATTGTCCTACGCACGCGGCAAGACTCATGTTCCCCTCATCGAGGCCAAATCCAGCGACTTCTTGTGCAAATATGAAACCCACTGCTTCGCCCTGTGTCACTGCTGTGACTTCTATGCCTGCGATTGTAAAATGGAGTGCCCCGACCGTTGTTCCTGCTACCACGACCAGTCATGGACCTCAAACGTGGTTGACTGTTCGCGTTCCGGCTACGATCGTGAACTGCCATCACACATACCCATGGACTCCACACAGCTGTACTTGGATGGCAACAACTTCAAAGAATTGTCAAGTCATGCTTTCATTGGTCGCAAGCGCTTGAAGGTTTTGCATTTGAATCACTCGCGCATTGAGTTCGTCCACAACCGCACATTCTACGGCCTGTTGGAGCTGGAAGTGCTGCAGCTGAACCATAACAGTCTGCGCCACCTGAATGGAAACGAATTCCAAGGTCTTGACAACTTGCAAGAACTTTATCTGCAACACAACTCGATTGCCAGCATCGATTCGCTGACATTTACGCATCTCTACCATTTGAAAATCTTGCGTCTAGATCACAATCTGATCACTGAGTTTGCTGTGTGGAACTTCTTGCCTCCGTACCTCAATGAGCTGCGCCTAACTGGTAATCCCTGGTCATGCAATTGTGTCTTCGTGGACAAGTTCCGTGACTACATCAACCGCCACGAAGCTGTTCTAGAGAAGCCAAAGTTGCGCTGCTCCGCCTTAGCTGGCTCCAACGGCACCGTGGGTATCAACACAACAGCGCTCACGCAACAACCGATCGAACAGTTCGCCCTTTACCTCAGCCCGGAAGTTCTGAAAGATACCACCATTCGCTATTTGGTTTGCGGCGGTGTCCAGCAGCAGCAGTTGCTGGGAGTCAATGGCGCCGCCGACATCAATGATAACATCATCAACGGCAACATGACCTCCACCAAAATGATTCTGTCACAGCCACCCATGCATGACTACGTGCCGATTCTTGTGGCCATACTGACCGGCTTTGTGTTTGTGATCATCTGCACCATGTTGGTGTTCATCTTCAGACAGGAAATGCGAGTTTGGTGTCATTCGCGCTTTGGTGTTCGCCTCTTCTACAACGGCAACAAAGACATGGACAAGAATGAACGGGAAAAGCTCTTCGATGCCTTCATTTCGTACAGCTCCAAGGACGAAGCCTTCGTAACGGAGGAGTTGGCTCCACTACTGGAACAGGGTGAGACCCGCTACAAGCTGTGCCTGCAAAGTCGTGATTTCCCCGTTGGTGGTTACATGTCGGATGCAATTGTTCAGGCTATCGATACATCGCGAAGAACGATCATGATTTTGTCGGAGAATTTCATCAAATCGGAATGGTGCCGCTTTGAGTTCAAGTCTGCCCATCAGTCGGTGCTGCGCGACAGAAGAAGACGTTTGATTGTCATTGTCCTAGGAGAGGTTCCCCAAAAAGACCTCGATCCCGATCTACGCTTGTATCTGAAGACAAACACCTTCCTGCAGTGGGGCGACAAGCTGTTCTGGGAAAAATTGAGATTTGCCCTGCCCGATGTACCCAATAATCAGCGGCGGCCTCATGGTGTTGGCGGCCACTGCACAGGTGTCGGTGTCCATATGCCCATGGCTCCACATCATCATCATATGCAAACTCATCACCTGCATCACATGCATCCCCAAGCCCAACTGCAGCAACACCACCTGCAACATGCCAGTTTCCGTTCGCAGATGCACCACAACATCAATGGCAGCAGGCAGAATCACAATCGAAACACCCCCCAAACGCCACAACAGTCGACAGTCTTGATGGGTCCTCCTTGCCAGAACATGCCGCCACAGCAGCAACAGCCGTTACCTCTGCCACCCAGCGCCGGTGGTCAAAGCAGTATCCAACATCAGAGTCTACCACTACCGCCCTGTCCCAGTCCACGTAGTGCCACAACGCAGTCTTCAATAGGAGGTGCCTCCACGAATTCCGGAAGATCTGTAGCGGTGCATATTTAACTTAAGGGTGCTACTACATCGAATAATTTCGAGTGTAAGTGTCAGATAGGCCAGAGCAGATAGAAAATAGATGAAGAATAGGAAGAAGCAAAAGAATGATCGACCATTTTGCCAAATTTCGAAACGAAGTTGGAGTTTTGTTAGCTATGCCGTGACATTGATCTTTTCCAGGCATCACTGCCACCGCTATTCATTTCCCCATTCTCCCAGCCGTAAGTTAGCTAGTTCGGTCGGGCCCTACATTCTGTTCGTCCGCCCCAGTCAATCATTTTAAATGACCATTTTGAATTTGTATCTCTGCCTCGTTAAAACAAGAGGTTTTTATTTCACGTTTTTTATGATTTTCCTCTTGAGGTGAGTTATTCGAGTTTGCTTTGCTGGTTCTGGTAGCCAGCAAAGAGGCAAAGCTATGAAGAAAACGAACGAAAGAAAACACGTTAATGGGGAACGGAAAACCTATTACAATAACAGGCTGATAAACTTGAGACCACGAGTGACGGTCGGTCGGTCGGGGAGAGACTGACTGACAGGAAGAGAAAGACAAACGTGCATCAAGGTACAAACAAGCTACAAAATTATGGAGGTAATGAAGGAGATGGCCAAATAATATGCCAAGCCAGGATGGGCGGGAGAGGAGGGGAGGACGACAGCGAAAACGACAACCATAAAGAACCTTTTGGCACAATGGTAATGCCAACAACAAGCGTAGCAAACGAGCCAAGATGCAAATGAGCTGCTGCTCCTGCCGCTGCTGCTGATATTGCCAAAGACGGTGCAGTCCGTTGCCTTTTTGCCACAATTGACACGGCATGCATTTTGCATTTTGGTGTGCTTGTTGCGCTTTGCGGTGAAATCATTGAGCTCGAAACGCGTTTGTTTGTTGCCTCTTTAGCGGTGACGGTGACGTTTACTTGAGTTTTCGTCTTCGCCTTGGTCGTTGTTTTCGTTGTGTTTCCTTTTCCACCTTGTAATGATTCAGAAAATTGATGTTGCATGCTACGATGGCAGGCAACTGCAACAACAACAAAATGCTCGGCTCACAATGTAGTCTGAGTGAGTAGGTGACGGACGGGCGGGGAGAAGTAGAGTGGGGGCCGTGAGGACGGGGTAAGCAAAACAAAAACCGGCAAACAATCCTCAGACATGTTTTGCACATCACACTCCACTACCAAACACACATCACTCGGTCAGACCAACCTACCAACAGACTGAACGACCGACCAAACAACTGATCAACTCAAGCAGGCAACATAACATGCAAACTATCGAACGCCAGACAGAGTCTGCAACTCCAGCAAAAACCTGACGTTTTTCGTCTTGGCGGTCACTAAACGACAGTCGACGGACATTGTTGAATTTGTGCTCCCCATAGGAAACGGGCGGTCGGGCGGGAAGTAGGGTTTGTCTGCAACGACGACGACGGCAAACAAATGGAAATGAAAGAGAAAAAATGAGGACAGCAATGCAGCATTTCGGTTTTTACGGCATCGTACCACCAAAACTATTCGAATGTGGCAGCAGCAACAGCAACCAAAATAGATTTCCTTGCCTTTCTTTCTGTCTGTCGTTGAGGCTGAATTCTCTACGCCAACAAAAACAAATTGCTACATGTGTTGCACAGCCCAACCGGGTGTATTGCACTGCTAGACGCCGGGAGAAAGGCCAACGACAGAAATTGCAAATGCTTTCAAAACGTTTTCCTTTCTTTCTCCTTCGTTTCGTTGGGCCAAACATGAAATGGGTGATTTGTTTTTTGAGTTCTTTTTCGTTTCGTTTTTTGGCAGAGTGAGTGGTCATCTTTTTTACTTCGACTTTGAAACAAATCGAATTGAAGACATTCCAAGAATCTTAAAAGGGGTCATTGTAAATAGGTAGGAGACACACACACACACTCTCACACAACCATACATAGCCAGTCAGATTGCCAACCAGCCAGCTAACAAGTGAGCAAGACTAACTAATTAAGATGTTGAACAAATTATTGTTGTTTTTCAAAATCAATGAAAAAATGTGATATAAATGTTAAATTTAAGTTAGAGCCCTAAACTAAATCTAGAGAATTAAGTCCATACCACATAACGTTAATTGTATTTTCCTAATCATTGCTGTATATTGTAAATGGAGACACCACCACTACTACTACCACTAACACTTAGCCAGCTAGATTAAGTGCAGCCTGTCAGCCAGCCAGCCAGCCAGTCAGTAGAGAATTTGCGAATATTTGTAAATAGAATCGAAAGGTACTTAAATCTGCTCCATACAACAGCACCTCCGATTGAAACTGAACAAACAGCCAGCCATATATATTTTTTATTTAATTTATGATTCTCGAATCGAATACCACTGAAATAACGACTCGAATGCGATTTTGTGCATCCCATTCTCTCTCTCTCTCTCTTTCTCTCAAAACCGAGTATTTTATTCAAATGTATTTTATGTGTTATAAATAGTGACTGATTATATGTATAAGCTAGTTTTGTAAATATTTGTATATTTCGAGCCAACAACTATCCCACCCTCCCCGTTCTCTGTCAATCCTCTGAAAATAGCTTGTAAAATATTGTATTAATTTATTGTGTGTATTATTTGTTTTATTTGTACTTTTTCCTAAGCGAGTCTAGCAATTAAGTAGAATTAATTAATTTTTTTTATACTCAGTAAGTTTTAAAAGAATCATAGTCGTATGCGATGTGAAGAAGCGAACGAATATCTTATTGAAAACAAACAACAAAAGACAATAAAATAAAAAAATATAAAAACAAATATTTAAAAATATTAAAACAAAACACTTGCATTTTCCATTTTCATTTTCCACTGGTGAAAAGGTTTGAGGGGGTCCTGGAGGGACAGGCGGGCATTGTTGTCAACCGGTGATTAATGTCCGGCTGGAATTTTCCCATCTCTGGCCATGACTAATTTGGGTTGGGTTGCACCTATTTTACCTCATCTGGTCTATTCTAGGAAAACAAGATCGACGCCCATCTTCTGTTAACCAAGATAGATGATTAAGCAGACAACCGACCTTGTCTAATTTCGTTGTAGTACAGGTTGTCCAATTCACACTAGACACCTGTACTTGGTCTCCACGACAGTCAGGTAGCCGGTTAAACAAACAAAAAGGAAAAAGATGATGATGATGACGACGACGACGATGGGCATGTATTTGTAACAACTGCAAATGCCATAAATTTCATCTGTCTCTGACAGTTTTCTCTGTAACAAGATTACGATCAAGGTTAATTTCTTTTTATCGATATTGACTTTCTGCCAGCCAGCTAGCTGTGCAAGAAATAATGAGCGGTTTGTCTTTTGTAATTGATAACAAACGTACATCTAAGTTTGACAACTTTCCTTTAATCCTTGGCCTACAAATCATTTCGATACTTTTTTTCCAAGCGATTGTTTGTGTCAGGTACCAACTAGTATTCTGTGTGCCATTCTGTCATAGTTGCTATGGCATAAAATACAAAAATGTTGGATTCTTATCTGAGAGAGCAATTTTGTAGTTGGTAATTTGTGTACATTTTTTTGAGGATAAAACAAATCGATGGAAGGTAAAGATAAGAATTTCAATTGGATTAAATAATTTGTTTTATTAAAAAATTAGTGACTGATTATATTGGGCGCCACAAAATCAAAAATTTGACTGGCGCACAGTGCCGTACACAATCTGTAAGATTGGAGTATGATTAGGATAAACAAGGTAAATTCAACAGGATCACACAGGCGACCTTCTCTTGATGTCGAAAAATTGTACCACTTTGTCAAAGTGGAAAAATGTGTTATATACAGGGCGATATAAAAAAACTGCAACCAACTTCAGACTGCTGTCATTTCTAAGCCACTCGTTCGACAGAAGTTAAAATCATTCCAGTGACATCTCATTGTATTGTTTACAAGCACACAAAAGCATTTTGATGAGAATTCAAGCGTGAGAATTAATTTCTTGATGGAAATTAAGCGTAATAGTGTGATTTCTTTATATTTGGCTGGAAAACCACAAGTGGCTATCGTCAGAGCACTCTAGCATTTAATGGGAAGAAATCTTTAGTGTCTCGTACCATCTCTCGTTACCGTGATACTGGTAGCGTATCCCGACGTGAAGGAACTGGACGGAAGAAAACAGCAACATCAGCAGAAATGGTTCGAAAATTAATAAAAGATCGAAACCGGCGTCGCAGTGGTCGAAAAATGACTAGTGAGCTGAACATATCGCAATATTCCATTCGGCAAATATTGAAAAATGAACCATCGAAATTCCAAAAAGTGCACGAACTTGCCCCCAACAGAAAGGAAATAGACTCCTAAGAGCTAAAGAGTTGATTTTACGCTCTTATTAATCGACCCTCGCATCAGAATAAAATTCTGGGGGGTGTATTAAAGCCTTGGCACGCAAACATTTTGGCCGCAGACCTTAGACATTCTAACAGGACTCAGGACTGGGTGCTGAGTGCAATCAGCACACGCCCATTTCCAGCGCACAATGGTGGAAGGTATTAAAAGTCGTCCCGGCAGAACTTACTTGTTCAATCAAAATTAAAAGCAAAACAAAGCGATTTTCGTGTATGTATTTGGTGCAAATGCCACTACAAATAAAAAATATTACCAAATTAGATTTATTTGTTAGAATTCAATCACCTTGCCAATAAACAAAAAGAAAAACAAAAAATTAATTGGAACCCATTTTTAGAAATAGGTTAATTAACCCTAATGAAATTAAGTATATCTCCGAGTTGTCTCCTCCACAATTAAGCATATTCTCTTCTCCGTTTTCTTTGGCCAAGTCTATCGATGGCTTTAATGTCTATCATCTTCCAAACTTACTAATTTCTTTGAAATTTTTAATGGAATGTGATTCTAAATGACCAGTAGATGACAGTGATGTCTACTACTGTATAATCGAAATATTCCCCAGGCCAATCAACCAGAATAACAACAACAGCAACAACAACGAAACATAATCAAATTAATATGATTAGATGATAAGCGAATTACGGTCAAAAGCAGAAAAGATCGACAAAAGCCAAAGAGATGGATGGATAGATAGATAGCCGGCCAGAAGAGTTGGAGATCTGCCTCAAGAAGACGTAGAAACAGTCAAACAGACATAACAAATGACAGTACATCAGACATTAATTAGAAATTAATGTGATATAATTAAAAATCCAAAACAAAAGTTTGGCTTCTCGAAAACGAATACCGAAAATTACGCTCATCCAAAGCAATTTCTAATGTTAATCAGCTACTGCTGTTGCTGGTCCATCAGGGCAGCCTACGAAAGTCTACCATTTCAAATTCAGCATTTTTTGCTCCTCACACACAAAGACACCGGCTGCTACAGATAGAGACAGCTATTGATACAGAAACCCCAATGGATGCCAATGAGCCGGTCGGTCGGTCGGTATCTATGCTGAGGATGACGATGTGGATATGGAGGTGAGTGAATTCGTTTGTTGGCAGGCCATGCGGTTTGTTAGAGTTAGATTTTTATCCCAAACTAACAACAATGATGATTATTATTAACATCGATGTCATTTATCTGCTGCCGCCGCCGCTGCCACCGTGGATGCCTTTGTTGTTTGTCCAGGTTGTTCGTGTCATGAAAATCTGTAATTTTTTCTTGGCCTTGTTCGCTTCTGTTGTAAATGAGTTTTCCCTCTGCGGTGTTGGTGGTCGTTATGTTTGCGGCGTCATTGAATGTTTGTTCAGCTACTAATTTTCGAGACCATGCAAAGGAACTGTTCAACAGACATTAAATAAATTTCCTACATAACCTTGACATTAGAGCAGCAGCAGCAGTAGCCTGTGTCGCCTTGAACCCATGGCTTAGCCAAAGCAGTAGCCGACAGAGCCCTCTTCTGTGCCTTTGTAAACATCACTTGGACGCGACGGTCCAGGATGGGAACATATTTCGGATGCCATAACTACTATTGATACTCTTAAGAATTAATGCAAAGATATTTGACATGGCATTTTTTCTTTTAAACAAACACTACTGTTTTGCTCCTTGGGCAAAGGTATTGAGCTATGGTCTGTGTGCGGCTGTTTGTCTCCTTGCCACCAAAGATGTGTTGAGTAGTCCTCAGCTGTTTGGATTAAAGACGGCACTAGACCACTCAAATTCATTTGAAAAAAAACCAAAAAAAAAAAAATATTGTTCATCTTTGCACTTGAACATTTGAATAAACGCAATTGTTAATTACATTTATTGAAATTAAATGAATTTTTATCAAAAATTTTCTCAAGCTGTTGAAATCATTAATCAAAATTTAATTTTTTTATTGTTGAGCATCACAATAATAACAGCAACGCCATGGGTGAAGATGAAAAGCGAGAATTCAAAATAATGCCAACATGGAAATTAAACTAATCATTCCCATGACTAAAGACCACCACCACCGCCGCCATATTCGTGGATGGCATTTCATTGAATTTTTTCGGGCAGCACCCCAAAACGCTCGACCAAGTCAAGAAATGATTTGATTTTATAAATATTTGATATGGTTCACAATGAATGGAGCGATATGAGCACTGGCGGGTTCCAAGAAACCCATTGAATATTTCATCGTTTGGCTGACACACACACAGAGACGACCAGAACAAACAATCGCTTCATTGGATGTGAGTAATAACAGAATTATTTGATACTTAATAAATACTTAGACAAGCGAAATGAGTTTGTCCAACAAACAATGAATGGGCGAATTGATTGGAAACTCCTTTTGGACACAAAGTGGACGTAGTTAGTCATTGGATGTGCTACGCACACCCACAGTTCGCAAACACTGCACATACACACACACCCTGACGTCCGAGTACTTAGGAGACCGGAAGCTATACTACCAGACACACTCACACGTCCATTGACATACTCACATGACGTCGAGGATGAGGACTTGGACAACGACGACGACAACATCGATGATGATAATGACAACATGGGGCTCAACAAACACTCATCAGCAGTTTGTGTGCAAACAAGCGGTAGCCAGGGTAAGCTATAGACTTTCCGCTTCCCAAAGCCACTTCAAAAGGTAGCAGAAAGGGATATGTTCAAGTACATTGAAACCACTTGACACTCCAATATAATCGGGCCAAAGGATCTCCCTTAAGTCGGTCTTTAGCCAGGCACCGACATATGGTAGCAGATCCGGAAAATAAATCAAATAAATGGGAATTAGAAATTCAAAACTAAAGAGATGTTGAGTCGAAATTGACCAGAAGAGCTGGTGACAATGGGCGTTTAGAAGGGAGATTGTTTTGTGGGAAACAATTGAAGGAGCACAACACTAAAGTAGGCAGTGAAGAACTAGAATTGTCAGGATTGCCGTTGCCATTCCCAGAATCATATTCTGCATATTTTTGCACAATGATATTTTCGTCATTACGAAGCTAAATTGCAGCCCAAAGCCAAGGGCCTTAAAAACGCCGTTTAGGTGAGGGAGGGTTTGAAACTTGAAATAAACGTTGAATAATGTAGTTAAAATCGTCAAAATATCGTATATAGGGAAGTACCGTTATATCCGAGCTGTGCGAAGACCTGGACCAGCATAAACAATTTTCTGTCACAGGCTATAGCATCCATTACGAAAGTCAAATACGACATCTCAAAAAATATCGGTGGGTATTGTACCTGCCGAATATAGGGAGGTACTGATATATGGGGGCTATACGAAGACGTGGACCTGCACAGACAATTTTCTGTCATAGGCTGTAGTATCCATTACGAATCTCAAATACCAAATTTGAAACATTTTCGATGAATAATGTCGCTAAAATCGTCAAA